TAAATTCCCATCTATAATTCATCTGTGTAAATTTCAAAGATCGACAAAAGTATTAAATATTGGTGACATTCTGATTATTATTTCCAGAGATACATGTGATAAGGCAGACCCTGCCCCTTTTGGAGAAGCCTACATTTCCACTATTTTCAGTTTTAGGGAGTATCCAAATATTAACCAAAAAAACTAATTCTGCAGTAAAATAATTTTATACAACCATAACATCTCATAACAGGATGCTGTTTTGTGCAACATCTATAGAGAGGAGTGTCAGTGTAGATCTGTTTTGGCAGGAAAGGCAAGACAGATTCATCAAACTTCTCCATGCTTTTAATCTATCCTATTTTTCTTGCAATGCAAAAATGTATCGACTGTAAACAAGAATTGAAGTTCTCACTGTTTATGTGAAAAAGTGTATGTACTAGTAAATACTAACTCTGCTTCTGCAATACAAAAGTGGACAAGGATTGGCAATATCACTGAAATCTTCTGCAACAATAGGTACATTTTATGCCAAAACAGATGTGGAATCGACTTCCTCACCCGTTCCAGACGAATAACTTGTGAAGTACCTGAGGCGTGTGAGTCTCAGCTGCTCCTGAAGGTGACGCTCTTCATCACTCGGCCAGCGAACCCTTGTTTCCTCTGGATCTGGTGCTTCTGGATGGTGAAAGCGCACGGGGTCCCAGCCCGTCATAATATCAAAGGTGATGACGCAGCCCAGAGAGTGTGATACTATGGACACCTTCCCATTTTTCTCAAAGTCTGGATTTCGCGAGCAGAAGAGTGAGTACAGACGATTCAGCTCCAGAGTCAAACCCCTGGTAATCTACATACACACAAAGCACAACAACACACATATACAAATTTATGAGGTATTTGCCTCAATTGCTATTTCTAATTCTTTCATATTCAGTGCTATAGAGCCATGTTGGATGTTGGAACAGTTTAGCCAGGATTTAGTTTTGCCTGAGTGGAGTTGATTTGAGCTCATGCGACTAACAGTCCCAAACTGTCAGCACTGTGACAAAATGCAGCCACACAGCTGTGAGGAAGCATAACAAGGCTAAACTTCAGGATGAATTTGTTCCTTAAAGGGAACTGAAAATTTGTAGTGTACAACAGTTTCCGTCTCACCTCATCTCTGTACAGAGGGCTGGTGTAGTACATGATGTCCATGGCGCTGCTGTTTAGCATGTCTCTGAGACCTCTCACTTTGTCTGGCGTGATGGAGTCCACCGTGTCTGCAGGGAGATCATACAAATACATCTAACACAACTGTCAGACGCTCCCAGAGAAAAATGACTTTTTCAATACTGTTTCATATTCCGGTGAAAAAAGTGATTCTGATCTGCCATACATACATGCATACAGTACATACATATGTATTTTCATGTTTGACAATGATCCGAAGTAAATAGCATCTGTCCAACACATTGGTCTATATCATGAAATTTGGAAATTACATTTCATATTGACAGAAGATGAGTCCTAATTATTCTGGCGACGCTGAGATATCTCGTCAAGCATCTCTGTTCAGTAAGAATGTCACCTTGAGCAATATTTTTGTCCATGACAAGGTATCACAAAAACTAATAACCAAATTTCAGTGAAATCAGATGCGGATATCCGTGGTCCCCAGAGGATGAATCTGTTTTTTTTAGATGCTCTAGCCTAGCCCTTTCTAGTTCGGGATATCCACAAGCCAAAATATCACACTGTTGATTAAACCAATGCCCCCAACTGTCCCCCGTCTAGGTGGCCAGTTGAGTCAACCCCAGAGAGATGTGAGGAGTTTCTTAATTACTTTTATAATAAAATAATGGAAATTTGGCAACAGTTTAATACTGAACATATGGAGCCTGATGTCGACTCCTGCCCACCTTCAACACTATCCCATTTTAGCTAAATCTCTCAATCCTGGAACGCACTGTTGCACTTTCTAAATCATCCACTTGTCCTTCAGACTGCATTAGCACTTGGTTTTTAAAAACGGTATTTCAGATGGTTGGTTCAGACATTTTAGCTATTATTAACTGGTCTTTGTCAACTGGTATTTTCTCCTGTAATTTTAAACATGCTAATGTTTATCACTTTTTATTAAAGCCCTCTTTAGATCCCTCAGAGCTACAGGTTCCTGCCATTCCTGAGAGGGAAGCATGACCAGCCTACATGCAAATTGATCTAACAGGAGAATGGAGCCAGGCAGCGGATTTCCTGTCCCGTCACAAGCCTGCCTCTGCCGACCCACACATTAACAGGAAGTTGCTTTCTAAGTGGCTTGAGATGCTCTAAAGTCATGGAACTTTGCACATGTGTCAGAAGAGATGATATGGGTCTTGCAAGGTCATCAAAAATGTGGCTCACCCACTAGAATATTATGAAGGAAGCCTAGCGATATGTTTCACCTACATGTATGAGATTTGGTAGGCAGATGTTGTTACATCTGCCTACCAAATCTGTGTGGAGACATACAAAATACTCTCTTGGAGGTATACCGTAATAAGGCCAACAGGACGTTGACCATTTAGAATTGTAGGTGCCCTTTTAGGCATATTGTTGGTGTACTTTAAGGAACTACTCCTACAGACATAATCACATCGACTTAAAAGTTTGGCAATTTATTCTCTAGACCTGAATGTTGAAAGGTTTTCTGGAACCACCTTACTGTAGAATGGCGGCCATTTTACATAGCCATTAAACATGAAGTTGTTATAACTCAAATGTACATCCTCCTATCTGCCCAAAATTGTTCATGAAAAATTAGACTTAAGGCCTGAACAAGTCTACAGGCCTTAAGTCTATTAATGTAGCAAGTCTAATGTAACTCCCGCCCCTATGCTTAAACCCGGCCCCATTAGTAAAGAGGAATCATTTGTTGCAGACACTAGTGGGAGGCATCATTCCACTCAGCACATAGTTCCTGTTTCATTGTTGTGGTTATCCCCTCTCAGAATACGTTAACCACATCCTTTTCATAGCCCATGAATCAATTGTCGTAGATTCTTGTGGGAGGCATCAATCCACTCAGCAGAGATCTGTGTCTGGATGCTTTACCCAGCGTACAGCCAGTAACCCCGAAGAGCGGAGAGGTGTGAGGGCTGGTTTCAGCTAAAATGTGGTTTGCTAGTCTGCCTAGCTTTTTACCGTAGCCACTTTTAGCTTCGCCTGTCATACCTGGTGCTTCTCTCTGCACCTTTCCTTTTCTTCTCTCTGTACCCTGGCTTTTCTTTTTTCAGACCCTTGGTAAGGCATTTTGACTTAACTAGTCAGGCTACATTTCCCTTTCCATCTTTATATTAGTGACACTTCTGACCCCACTAATTGTGAAAATGGTGCAGTCAAAACTGCACCATTACAGAGAGGGGTGAAGTATCAGATGATAATTTGAAATGTTTTAATGATAGCAATACATTTATTTTATCATGTATACATATATCTTGTATTGTAAGTGATATAAGTCATTTAAGGGTAAACATTAGACCTTTGCATGGGCACCCCTGATCCTCCGGCCGGGGTCATCTCTACCCTTTGACCCCCCCTGAAGGCAGGCCAGCCCTAAGAGGATAAGTCATTTTTCATTTTTATAATCCAATTACCTTTTCTGAAAGTACCACTTTAACATTCTCCATGTTTAGATGTCTAAACATCTAAACAACATTTTTAGCATAATTAGCTTAATTGTCAATTTCTTGTACATTCCCTTCAACACTGTACAGCACTTACAACAACTTTTGTTTTGGATGTTTGTGAGCTGAGGTGCATCATACCTCCATCCAGAGCCAGTTTTGACCTCCACTCCACAGGAAGGAACTCTACATGCTCTGTGGTGCGATCAGAGAAGTGCTTCTCCTCCATCTTTCTGGCAGCGTCTCTCATCCTACAAGTCAAAACAATTACTTCAAGAATAATTCTGATTCTTTTCCAATTATCTGTGCTCCCACTGGCAACCTCTCGATATCTCACATGCTGGTGTTCCTGATGATGCGGCCCTGGTCCATCTTCTGGCCAATACCATGCACCACAAAGACGATGTGCGTGGTTTCAGGTGGGGTGTCCTCAGGTGCTGCCTCTTCTACATAACCCCGATGGAGACGCGTCCCGCTGCTGGAGGCTGAGGAGATGAGAAGGTTCATTACTACCTGAATTGATGTGTTTCAGAGCAGTGTGCCAGTGTTTAGTCATTTATGTGACCGGTTTCTCTGCCGGAAACCGGTGGATTGCTCCCTCCAGGTGGGGACGGAGTGCCTACCTCAAGCGAAGGAGTTCAAGTATCTCGGGGTCTTGTTCACGAGTGAGGGTAAGATGGAGCGGGAGATCGACAGACGGATCGGTGCAGCTGCAGCAGTAAAGCAGGCGCTGCACCGGACCGTCTTGGTGAAGAGGGAGCTGAGCCGGAAGGCAAAGCTCTCAATTTACCACTCGGTCTACGTTCCTACCCTCACCTATGGTCACGAACTCTGGGTCGTGACCGAAAGGACAAGGTCGAAGCGGCCGAAATGAGTTTCCTCCGTAGGGTGGCCGGGCTCAGCCTTAGAGATAGGGTAAGGAGCTCGGTCATCAGGAGGGAGCTTGGAGTAGAGCCGCTACTCCTTCGCGTCGAAAGGAGTCAGCTGAGGTGGTTCGGGCATCCAATTAGGATGCCTCCTGGCTCTGGAACCAAGCTCCTGGAGAGGGGTTGGACTTTGTCCTTTTCCGGAGTTGCCCAGGGTGAGAGGCGCCGGGCGGGAGTGGGGATACTCACGAGCCCCCGGCTGAGCGCCGCTGTGTTGGAGTTCTCCCCGGAGAGCGAGAGGGTCGCCTCCATGTGCCTACGGGTTGCGGGGAGCAAGGCTCTGACTGTGGTTTGTGCTTATGCACCAAACAGCAGTTCAGAGTATCCGGCCTTCTTGGAGTCGGTGGGAGGGGTCCTGGAAAGGGCGCCGCCTACCGACTCCATAGTTCTCCTGGGGGACTTCAACGCTCACGTGGGCGATGACGGAGAAACCTGGCGGGGGGTGATTGGGAGGAACGGCTTGCCCGATCTGAACCCGAATGGTGTTTCGTTATTGGACTTCTGTGCTTGCCATGGTTTGGCCATAACGAACACTATGTTCGAACATAAGGTGGCTCATTTGTGTACCTGGTACCAGAACACCTTAGGCCGGAGATCAATGATCGACTTTGTAATCGTATCATTTGATCTGCGGCCGTATGTCTTGGACACTCGGGTGAAGAGAGGAGCAGAGCTGTCAACTGATCACCACCTGGTGGTGAGTTGGATCAGATGGCAGGGGAACCGGTTGGAAAGACCCGGCAAACCCAAACGTGTAGTGAGGGTGAACTGGGAACGTCTGGCGGAGGACCCTGTCCGGGAGGTTTTTAACTCCCACCTCCGGAAGAACTTCTCACACATCCCGAGGGAGGTTGGGGACACGGAATCCGAGTGGACCATGTTCAAAGCCTCTCTTGTGGACGCGGCCGCTAGGAGCTGTGGCCGGAAGGTCATCGGTGCCTGTCGTGGCGGCAACCCGAGAACCCGGTGGTGGACAACGGAGGTGAGGGAAGCCGTCAAGCTGAAGAAGGAGACCTTCAAGGCCTGGTTGGCCCAGGGGTCTCCTGAAGCAGCTGACAGGTACGGGCAGGCCAGAAGGGCTGCAGCTGCGGTGGTCGCGCATGCTAAAACTCGGGCATGGGAGGAGTTCGGGGAGGCCATGGAGAAGGACTTTCGGTTGGCCTCAAGGAGGTTCTGGCAAACCATCCGACGGCTCAGGAAGGGAAAGCAGGGCTTACCCCAGGCTGTTCTCAGCAGGGGGGGGGGGGGGGTAACGCGGATGGAGGACATCGTCGGGCAGTGGAAAGAGCACTTTGAAGAACTCCTAAACCCGACCAACATGTCCTCTGCAGAGGAGGCAGCGCCTGAGGACCTAGGGGGAGGCTCACCCATATCCCTGGCAGAGGTTGCTGAGGTAGTCAAAAAGCTCCTTGGTGGCAAGGCGCCGGGGGTGGATGAGATCCGCCCTGAGATGCTGAAGGCGCTGGGCATGGTTGGGCTGTCCTGGCTGACACGCCTCTTCAATGTCGCATGGGGGTCGGGATCAGTGCCCATGGAATGGCAGACCGGGGTGGTGGTTCCCATCTTCAAAAAGGGGGACCGGAGAGTGTGCTCGAATTACCGGGGTATCACACTACTCAGCCTCCCGGGGAAGGCTTATGCCAGGGTGCTGGAAAGGAGGCTCCGACCGCTTGTCGAACCTCAGATTCAAGAGGAGCAGTGCGGATTCCGTCCCGGCCGTGGAACAGTGGACCAGCTCTTTACCCTCGCAAGACTACTGGAGGGGTTCTGGGAGTTTGCCCAACCAGTCTACATGTGCTTTGTGGACTTGGAGAAGGCTGTCGACCGGGTCCCTCGGGGGGTCTTGTGGGGGGTGCTGCGGGAGTATGGGGTGCCGGACCCGTTACAACGGGCGATCCGGTCTCTGTACGACTGCAGTAGGAGCTGTGTCCGCATTCTCGGCAATAAGTCAGACACGTTCCCGGTGGGTGTTGGCCTCCGCCAGGGCTGCCCTTTGTCACCGGTCCTGTTCGTGATTTTCATGGACAGGATATCTAGGCGCAGCCTGGGGGCGGAGAACGTCAGTCTCGGGGGTCTCGGGATCGCTTCTCTGCTATTTGCAGATGATGTGGTCCTGTTAGCCTCCTCGGATCGTGACCTCCAGCATTCACTGGGGTGGTTTGCGGCGGGGATGAGAGTTAGCACCTCCAAATCTGAGGCCATGGTTCTCTGCCGGAAACCGGTGGATTGCTCCCTCCAGGTGGGGACGGAG